CCGTGTGGCCTTGGGCAGTCTCAGAGAGAGAGAGAGAGAGAGAGAGGGAGAGAGGGAGAGAAAGAGAAAGAAACGACAGGTCTGCTGCAAAGAGCCCGAGCTGAAGCGTGCACTGTTGTTCCATTCTGCGCCCCGTCGATCCGGACGGACGGCGCGCTGCGCTATTTACATGGAGGATAGACGACTAGTGTCAGCACGCGAGTCGCCGCCTCTTGTTTCGCCGCATCTACTGATCCTTCTTGGCCTCGGGAGTGGCAGCGGCTGCCGGGGCAGCAGCCTTGGACGACGACGACGACGACGAGAGGAGGGCCTCCTGCTTTCGGCGGTTGGCCTCCTTCTGGATGTTGTCCTGTCGTTCGAGGTACCACTGCGAGGTCTGGAGGACGACGACGCCAAGCAGGAGGGCGGCGATGATGGTGTTGGTGGCCGAGATGATGCGGATGCAGCTGGTGCGCTCGTCGGGCGTCATGGGACCCTGAGGCGGCGCAAAGGTCGAGTGGCCCTTGTCGAAGGCCTCCTTCTGGGCGTGGCGCTGCGTCATGATGGCCGAGCGCAGCAGGAGGTAGTCGTTGGTCGGGTCGTTGAGCAGGCGCAGGTTGGGCACCACGACGCCGCCGTACATGCATACTCCGCCCATGAAGAGGGCTGGCGGAGGGGCGGTGAGGCCAGAACGGGTAGGATCAAGGGGCCGGGGGGGGGGGGGGGGGTCGGGGGCGTCAGGTCAGTGACGGCAGTGGGTGTGGGGCAGAGAGCCGAAGCGAGCGGGGTCAGGAGAGGTAGGAAGACGGGTCGGAACGCACCGAGGCTTCCGCCGTCAAAGTACTTTGCCATTTCGGTCCAGTGGTGGAGCTTGGCAATGAGGCCGACGATGCCGAGGCCCATCATGCCGTGGAGCAAGGCGGTGACGGCGGTGGGGGCATTGTGGATCGAGAGGTAGAAGCGGTCTGCGGCGTCGACGGCGGCGGGCTCGAGGGTGGCGCTGTAGAGCAGCGGGAAGTCGTAGATCGATGCGATAAAGAGGACGCCTGTCGCGAGGGAAGAAGAAGGCCGAACATCGAGACGGAGCATGGGTCAGCTTGCGAGGACGGGGGGGTGGGGGATGAACGGGGGCTTGAACGCACCAAAAAGGAAGGCGACGCTGCTGACGACGGCACCGGTACGGAAGCCCATGATGGAGGATGGATCGAGGTGTCTTCGGAGGGAGTGTGTTCGAAGTGATAAGAGGGATGGTGGCGGAAGGACGAGGAGCGGGGGACTGAGAAGAAGCAAGCCCAGGCGGGCCCGTCCGAATTGGCACGCGGCGAGGCTGCGCTGCGGGGCTCTGGGGAAGAAGGAAGCGGGTGTGGGCCACGGGCGAGGGCGCGCAGGCCAGGCCCAGACCCAGACCCGGGCCCCCCATCGCTGGCCCGAAACACGGGCGAAAGCCGAACCAGGCTCGGAGGCCAGGCCAAGAAGAGGTACTGCTGACTAAGCCTGACATTCTACTCCTTCCAGGAACGCTGGGTTGGTCCAACACCCTGACTGCTGGTTGCGCCGGCCACCAAGACCCTTTCCTCCACACCCTCTCTCTCGCGCTGAGCCTCGCCTGGCCCCCTTCCAACGTTGCCGGCACCAATCCTCGCACCAACCTTCCTCATCGTCCCCTCTGTCAATCTGCAGCCGCACTTCAACGGCCAACCCGCAGCACGGCATGACGATCCGCGCCGTCCTCATCGTCAACAACCACGGCAAGCCGCGCCTCACCAAGTTCTACTCGCAGCTCCCCTCGGCGCGCCAGCAGGCCCTCATCCGCCTCATCTACCGCCTCGTCTCCAAGCGCCCCGACGGCGTGTGCAACTTCCTCGACGCCCCCGAACTCACACCGCTACTACCACCCCCTAGCGACGCCGTATCCTTTTCCAGCACCTCCCGCACCGCCCCAAGCAGCGGCAGCGGCAGCGGCAGCGGCAGCGGCACCAACACCGCCAACGCCGCAAGACGGTCAACGAGAGGCGAGACCTCGGACCGCTCCAACCAGGACGAGCTCAGGGTCATCTACCGCCACTATGCCACCCTCTACTTTGTCTTTGTCGTCGATCAGAGCGAGAGCGAGCTTGGTATCCTTGACCTCATCCAGGTGAGCGGCCAGACCCGGCTGCACAAGTTGCGCTCTATTCCCGCGACCCGCTGATCGAATGTCGAACACCCGTCCTTGCCCCATGACCCGCCCTCTCTCGTCCCCGCCATCAGGTCTTTGTCGAATCCCTCGACCGCTGCTTTGAAAACGTGTGCGAGCTCGACCTCATCTTCCACTTTGACGAGGTGAGCTGGCCAGTGTTCCGTTTGTACATCCGGCCGCCGGCATCCCTCTGGCGCTCTCTTGCTAAACGAAGACCTCCCCTGCCGCCCACGCCAGGTCCATGCCATCCTGTGCGAGCTGATACAGGGAGGCCTCGTGGTCGAGACCAACATCAACGAAATTGTTTCGGCAGGTGCGTACCCGTCTATCCCTGGCCTCTCTCGAGCCTCCGCCCATCGCTGCTCGGAGACTGACCCTCCCTTGCCCCACTTCGGCCCGCCCCGCCCGCAGCACAAACCACATCGCGCGCGCGCAAGACGTCGGCGGCAACCACACCGGGCGGCGGCGGTCTGGCCTCGTTCGTCCCATCAGCCACGTCCAACCTCTCCTCGCTCACCCCTTCCTCGCTCAACCTCGGTTTCCCCGGTTCTCCAGGGTGGGGCAATGGAGGGTCATCGAGCAGCAGCAGCGGCAGTGGAGGCGGCGGAGGGGGAGGGGGCATCGCCTGGCCAAAGGGGACCTTTATGGTCGATGCGCTCGCCAACCTCGGCAGTCAGTACCTTGGTGGTGGATCCAGAGGCAGAGGTCGGTACGGCAGATGAGAACGCACCGTCCTCTTTCTCGCCAACACCTCCCCCATAGACGGAGCACGAGGGGGAAAGAAGAAAGAGAGCGGCGTACCCCTGCCCTTGCCGTGCCGTATACCCCCAGTGTCCATCATCATGCAAACCGGATTCCATCCGAACCCGCACAGCATAGCTATCCTGGCAGCAGCAGTCGCACACACACACACACCGCGATGCCGACGGGTACGCGACAAGCGACGCAGCTGCGGCGGTGAAGCGAGAGCATAACGAGAGGCCGAGTGGATTGAGAGGGATGTATACAAGGACAACATGATGGGAGCGGATAAGCATCAGGCATGACAGTGAACGACGGACGACAGCGGAGGCGGAGGCGACGTGTGCGGTGAGGCGAGGCGCGGCACGATTGCGGCTCTTGCACGCCCCTCCTCGGCCGCGCATCGAGGGCAGAGACGGATGACCTTGACGTTGGGATCGCCCCCCTCCTTCCTTGCGTGGCGAGGGCCCTTTATTTTGAAAAGCGGGAGGGGCATAGACAGGCTGGCTGGGGGCATCTGATGACGCTCTCGCGGCCAGGGTTGACCGCCTTGCCGGCTGCTATGACCTGGCCCAGGGTGCACAGTGCCCAGCTGGCAGCGTCTGCGACTGCAACAGCCGCGACGAGAGGTCCGGGCCTCTCGCGCCGAAGACTGCGCTGCGCACGCGTCATCCAGAGTCTCGATGCATGGCCGAGGCGGCATCCGTCGGCGGTGCTGGCTCCCCGAGGATTCACGTGTGGCTGGAGAGACTGCTCCCGCTCCGCAGCCGATATGGGCCCACCACAGCCTCGCCCGAATGAAGGGCCCTCTTGACCGATGACCACCCGCCGTTCCGGATCCCGCGCGACGCCCGCCTAGACGCTCGACTTGGTCTGCTCGTTGAGGAAGAACCTGAAGCCCTCGTACGACAGCCAGCAGAGGGCGTTGGACGGCATAAAGGTGAGGACGCGCGGCGTGAGGCCCCTCGCGAAGCCCTTGAGGCCGGCCTTTTGTCGGATAATCTGGAAGGCCTCGAGCATGCCCGAGGCGGAGCGGATGCGCGGGTCGGTGCTGCTGCCGCGCGTCTGGAGCAGCGTCTTTGCCACGTCGAGCGGGTTGGTGACGGCCGCCGCCACGGCGCCCGAAAACGCTCCCGCCGTGACGTGGGTGACGGGCGAGTAGCTCTCCGACGGGTTGAGGACCTTTTTGGCCCACTCGTACACCGAAAACTGCACCGCCGTAAAGGGCACCGTCATCGTCAGCGTCGTCGGGTACGAGACGTAGAAGGCGCGCAGGCCCTCGGCCTGGTAGACGTTGCGGGCGCACTGCATGACGGTGCGATGTGTCGAGCCGTGCATCTGCATGCGCTGCTTGATCACGTCGAACGGATTCATAAAGGCGTCGGCCGCGATCGTGGCCGATGCGCCCGCAAAGGCGGTGCTGGCAAACTGGTGGCCCTCGCGGTTGCCGCCCGTCATGTCCTTGACCGTCTCGTAGGTGCCAAAGTAGACGGCGTGCGCTGGCCCCGCGCCCATGATGACCGATGCCACACCTCGCCATAACGTCCGCGCGCCCTCGAGCGTGCTGATGCGGTTGAAGGCCTGCACGACGCCCGTATACGTGGCGGCCGGGGTTGCCGAAAGGATCTGCATCCGCGTCTGTGGAGAGGCGAGGAGGACGGCCCACGAGAGGAGAGCGAACCAGGTCAGCAGGGCGTCCGCGCTGGTCTGTGGTGTGCCAGGGGTTCCCGCTCCACCCCTCGCACCCATCTGCGGATCAAGACGAGGCAGTGGCAGCTGCGCCCAGACTGAACGGACCCTCCAGGGAGACGCGGGCTCACGACTGGGCCGCAGGGGGGGCACACGCCACTCACTCGGATGACGTCGACGGGGAACATGACGGCATGCTCGCTGATACCGGCGAGGGAACCCGCGATCATGTTGATATGGAGCGGCACATTGTTGCCAAGACCCTCGTAGTCGATCTCCTCTTCGAGAGCGGATACGGATGTGTCGGACATTTGGTCGGCGTCGAGATCAGTGTGTGGTGAAGTGCGGATCGATGCGGGGCCAGCAGGAGATGGTCGACAATCGGCCGTCTGTTCGGAGACGCTGCAGCTCGCAGTGGCAAGAGGCTCGGCGTGGTTGTAGCGGGCCGGATCAGACTGCGAGGCCTGGTGCGCAGAGGGCAGGTGGCAGTGGCTTGAGCGGACCTTTGAAGGTGCAGCCTCGTTGACGAGCGAAGGACGTCGCGGTGCGGAGTGGAACCCAGACGGAGCCGACGACTGGCGACCTTGAAGCGAGCCGTCAATCTTGACGACAGAGCGCGGCTGGCCGAGATTAGAGGAGCGATCAAACGAGCGCCGAGACGAGGAAAAGCGAGGAGGATGTTGCGTCCGACGATGCGGCGAACGAGGTGGGAAAGGGAAGAAAGAACCACGCCGGGACCGAGGAGCGAGGCGGTAGGTGTGAGTGAGTACAGTGAGCGAGCGAGCGTGGCTTCCGTGAGGTAAGAAGAAAAAAGGGAGCGGAGAAGTGGGTGTGTGTGGGCGGTGGGCGGGCGGTGCGGGTCCAGCTGGCTGCTTCTCGATCTGCGGTCTTCGCGTATCCCAGCTTCCGGGCGGCTGGCCGGCCGCCTGGAGAGAGCAAAGAGGTGGGCGGCAGGCCAGGAAGGACGGGCCGGTGTCGTCAGCGTGATTGGACGCTCTGCAATCGGGGCGGCCGCCTTGGCCTTGGCCTGACAGGCCGGCTCAAAAGGGCGAGAAAAAAGCAAGCAGGAGAAAAACGGAGTCAGGGTCAAAGGCCGGCCAAACGCCTGCCCTAGCCTAGCCTGCCTGTGGCCTGCGCCCAGGCCGCGTGTCCTGGGCCTCTTTGGTGCGCGCTGCTTGCTTGGCAGGCCTTCCAAAGTCGCCCACCCTGCTGGCCTGCCTCTCTTTCAGATGCGCCGACGTGGATTGCCGGCAAGGCTGCAAGCCAAAGGCCGACCACGGGCCTTCGTCAGTCGGTCGACGCGTTTATGTATGCGGCCATGGTCCCTCCGTCGCGCTGGCTCATCCGAACAAGCTCAGCATACCGGAGGTCGTGCTCGTGACGACGTGGTCAGCGCTACAGCAAGACTCTCCGTCTCGTTCTGATCGCACACGGCTGCTGCAGCAATCTGCTTTACTCTTATCGCTCCTCGTCGCCGCCATTCAAGGTCGACCCGAGCCTGTCGAGCAGGGCTCTTCGCTCGAGACCTCTGCGGCGGACCAACGGCCCTGCACCGTGACAAGGCTTCGACAGACCTCTGATCAAGCGGTCACGGTCGGATACGCGACACACTTCCTCGCCGAAGACTGTTTGCCGCCTCGAGGACCGCGGCCGCAGGCCGCGTCCATGCCTGAGCGGGACTGGAAGTGCCAAGGTCTGAGAAGGGCAGGGGGAGCAAGGGGCAAGCGCAGGACGAGGGCAAGGGGTGGATGTGGTCAGTCTTTGATCCGGTAGCCAGGCCATCGCAGAAGGGTAGGGGGCAAGAAGGAGGATACGAACAAGTATGTCGGAAGGAAAGGGGGGAGGCGGGTAGAGGGGGGGTTGATGCTGGGGGCCCTATCGATCTGTCGCGGCAGAATATCGTCGCGGGATGTCCTGGTCGAGGTGCATCTGGATCGCAAGTGCGTCTCCCACGATCCGACAGAGGAACCGCGTCGACACACGCAAACGCGAAGCAGCAACGCGCATGGTCTGGGTGAGGCTTTTTGGTTTGGCTTATTGCGCATCGTGCAGGGGATACTACATGTGTGGAGGTGATGCCGTGCGAGGCTCGGAAACGACCCCAGTCGAGGCCGGTCTCCAAGCTCGTGTAGAGGACCATGGCAGACGAGAGGGCATGGACCGGGGGTGGCCGACGTAACTGCGAGTCCGCGCGGGGCGAGGCTCGAGGAGCGTACGGCCTGCGAGGACGTTTTTGGTGATGTGGTGGGTGGGTGCGTGTGTGTGCGTGCGTTGTTTGCTGCCCCGATCGCCTGTGCCCGAGGGAAGACGCCGGCCAGAGGGGGCAGGGCGACTGGGCCCGCCGGGTCGTCCTCGAGAAAACCCAGCAGGAGCGGCCGCCACCATCAAGTCAATGTTACAGCCACGACGGCGGCCGAGGCGGTGGCCACCGAAGGGAAGGGGATGCGAAACCAGACCGAAGCGAACGAGAAGCAAGAAAACGGAACCAGGACGAGGCGAGGAGGACCCGTGGGGACTCCCGCACAAAAGCGTCGCGGCAGCGCGTTTACTTCTTCTTGTTGGCGACGGTGCGGCCACGGCGGCCGGTGGTCTTGGTGTGCTGACCACGGACGCGGAGGTTGAGGTAGTGGCGGATACCACGGTGGGCCTTGATCTTCTTCAGGCGCTCGAGGTCATCACGCAGCTTCGAGTCGAGGCCGTTGGACAGGATGTGGGCGTTCTTGCCGTCGACAATGTCCTTCTGCCTGTTGAGGAACCAGGCCGGGATCTTGAACTCGGCGGGGTTCTGCAGGATGGTGACGATGCGCTCGAGCTCGTCCGAGTTGAGCTCACCGGCGCTGCGGGGGCGAAGGAAGGGTGCAGGCAGAGCACAGAAGCGAAAGTCAGCGATGCTGCTGCGGGGCGGCGTCCCTCCTCGAGTCTCGCTTCCGAGTGCTTCCACGCGCCCGTGGCCATCACGAATCCTCCAACCTGTCATTCCCTCGCAGCATGTCCGCAAGCAGTGCAGGTTTCCTCCGTCCTGGCCCCGCGCCCTGCAGGTATCCCAAACACTAACCGCTTGGAGAGGTCGATATCGGCCTTCTTGCAAACGATGTTGGAGTATCGGCGACCGACACCCTTGATCTGTGTCAGGGCGTACTGGATCTTGATCTTTCCGTCAACGTTGGTGTTGAGGAGACTGTGAGCGGGCAGGGCGGGAAGGCATGAGATGCAGGCGGGTAAGTGCGACTGCCTGTGAATGTCGGCCGCGGCCGGCTGCGGCACCGACCGCCGTCCAGGGCCAGCATCATTGTCGTTTGTCGAGCGTCGATCGTCGCAAAGTCCCGCCAGTTGGTACAGCCGTCGCAGCCGTCGCAGCCGTCGCAGCGTGTCGCAGCGTGTCGCAGCGTGTCGCTGACGCCTGATCCGATCTTGGACAGTCTCGTGGACGGTCTCGTGCCGATTCGCTGTGCTCGCAGCGCGACCATCATGGCAAGGGCTGCGTCGTCCCGCAACAGAGGCTCTCGTCCGTCCTTCGACGGTCGTACGTCCAGCTGCCTCTCCGCCCGTCCGTCACGATCCCTGCGGCCAGACGCTACGAATGACGTCTGCTCCCCTCCGGCGATGCTGTGCGTGCTGCGATGCTGCTGCTGCTTCGGACGCTCGAGACGACAATGATGCTGGCGTGCGCTGGCGGGCGGTGGTGGTGCTGCTGGTGTCGCTCCGGCGGGTCGATTTCGAGGGCAGCCGTGTCGGATGCTCACCGCAGGATGAACGCGAAGTTCTGCGAAGGGTCCGGGGGAACGAGAGACATGATTGCGATGTAGGTGGTGTTGGTGGTGGTGTGCGGGTGGCGGAGGGATGACTTGCTGAACCTTGACGACGACGACGGCGGCGGAGAGAAGACCTGGGTTCGGGGAGCAAAGCGTTGCGTGGGGCCAGCCGTGGCCGGCGGTGCCCCCCCTGGACGCCAGCCCTAGTCTTGCCATGGCCCTGGCCGTGGCCTGCCGTGTGGACGCGGACGCCAGGGCCCACCGCTCCGCCTTGCGGAAAATTGCGCGCGGCTCCGAAGTTCAAAAGAGCCCTGGCACCCCAGCGCCGGTCGTGGGAATTTTTGAAGCTGGTGATCGCATCTCGCCAGACCGGGGGCAATGCGCGGCCCCTCGACCCAGCCGGACCGCCTGGTGCGACGGCCGCCCCTCAAAAGCTTCGCTCGCAGGCGCGCCCCTTCCCTCCGCTCCTCATTCTTCTGCGTGAGTACCGCCCTACCCCCGACCCTGGCGCTGCCATCCACCGCCGCCGCCTCCGCCGCCGCCGTCGCATGATGCTTATGGCATCCCTCTCCGCCTTTGCTGTCGCCACCTCTCTCCTCGCGCACCACCCACAGAGGCACAGGCGCTTCATCCCGTGAGGTTTTTACCGAGGAGAAGCTTACTGCTGATTGCAAATTACCTATAGTTTGCGTCCTTGTTGTCTTTACGACGACTTGGCAATTTTTGAACACCACCAAGGCCCCTCGCATCGCTTCCTGTCTCGCCCGCCGGCGTCATCGCCGACCTCGCTCTGGCTCTTTCCACAACGGCGGCCCGTTGGCTGCTCGCGTCGGACGGTCGGTCGCGAGTCGTCTCGCTCGTACGGACGGCAGCGCTGGGTCGTCGATCGAGAGCCCCTTGTAGTAGCTTGGCATGCTGGGCGGGGGCGTGTTCGTGTTGGCCGTCCGTTGCAATCCAGACATTCATCATGCTGCTCGGTCTCCAGACTCGTGTGTGTTGGTGTGATGTGATGAGCGGCGTTGTTCGCCCTCGCACGGACGGACTCTGAAGGCAGAGGACGGGAGGAGAATGTCTCGCGGCTCGGCGCTTGACATCAGCTCGTGTGCTTCAGACCGCTGCAGCAGGCCGGTTGAAGCAGTCCGCTGAGTGCTGAGCGAGGAAGCAGGTCGGTTGAAGCCGTCCGCTGGGCGCTAAGCGAGGAAGCACCTGTGCAGTTGTCGAGTTGCTGATGTTGCTGTCTTCAATGCAGCTGCTTGGCGCTTTGAAGCTGGTCCGGCCTGACTGCATGCAAGGCTGCTGCAGTGGCAGCAACAGTGAGTCTTTTTGGATTGCCAGGTGTCTCTCTTCTGACAAATCTTCTCCGGATCTGCATTTCATCAGGTGGGCAGTCAAGGAGAAAGTTCTTCTCAAGATGATCGAATCGCGGTGGGCGGGCGACTTCAAGATCATCGACTGCTGCGGGGTGCGCGTGCCGCTCAAGTGCGCTTCGATCGACCGGATCGACTCGACCAAGGGCTACACGGCCAGCAACATCCGTCTCATGGCACTCGGCCTCAACATGCTCAAGAAGTCGTCGGACGACCTCGAGGTGTACGAGTACCTCTCGTACCTGCGCAACCGCGAGGGCATCATCAGGCCCGTGTAGTGTCGTTTGCGAACAGCATGAATTCACACAATGCACGACGCTGGCAGAAGTACAAAATGTGAGAAAGCAAGAACAGGTCGGCGGGTCGGTGAAGGAGACCTGCGCTGGCGGCGGTGCTCGAGGTAATGATGTCTGCGGTAGAGTGTCCAAGATGGACCGGCAGGGTAAGGCGAGTTGAGGCCGGTCGAGGCGGTTCGAGGCGGTTCGAGGCGGGATGAGACGAGGCGGGCGGCAGAAGAGGGCAGAGAGGAACAGGTGATACAGAGGATGAGCGGGTCTCGGCCTCGGTCACGCCAATGGCTGCTGTAGCGGCGGGCGTCGGTAGCTACTCACGATGATGGCCGCGGTACGAGTGCAGCCGTGCCGACAGCCCCATGGCGGTAGCAGCTAGTGCGGGTGTCTGGTTGAAGTCGAGGGCGAGGCTGATGAAGGCGAGCGCGAGGGGTGGAAACGAGCCAGAGAGAGTCAGCAGGCAGGATAAGGACTCACGACGGCGAATCTCCGCCAGCCGAGGGACCCGCCGTGGGACCATGAGGGCGAGGCGAGTAACAAGGACGAGGACGATGGCGAGGTGGCGGCGATGTCGAGGTGACGGCGAGGTCATGGCGAGGTGACGGTGAGAACGATGGTGACGGTGAGAGCGATGGCGGGGTGAGAGCGATGGCGAGGTGACGGTGAGAGCGATGACGAGGTGAGAGCGATGGCGAGGTGAGAGCGATGGTGACGGTGAGGACGAGGGCGAGGTGACGGCGGGGAGGGCGAGCTCATGGCGAGGTGACAGCGAGGCAACGGCGAGGCGAGGACGATGGTGGTGGCGGTGGCGAGGTGAGGGTGACGATGACGGGACGGCGACAGTAGTAGCGAGGCGAGAGCGACGACGAGCCAATGGCGATGGCGATGGCGATGGCGATGGCGATGGCGATGGCGATGGCGATGGCGATGGCGATGGCGATGGCGAGAAAAGGGCGACGGCGACGGCGACGGCGACGGCGACGGCGACGGCGAAGAGAGGGTGACAGGGACGGCGTGGTGAGGGCGACGACGAGGTGAGAACGAGAACCTGCGTCAAGATGGGGACGGCGGAATGCGAACAGGTCTGAGGCGGTTCAACGAGGAGATCGAGTCGATGGCGAGCATTGGCGGTGCTGATGATAGGAAAGAATCGCGACCAGCAGCGCTGGTAGGCCAGAGACAGTCGATGGGTCGCTGTGTGGGCGGGGATGTGGTGTTGGTGAGGATGGGCGGGGCGAGCGACTTGGGAAGGCTTGTGTGCGTTGGGACAGTTGCCAAGTGGAGAAGCAGGCTGCCTGCTTTGTGGAGCGGGCTTCGGGTCCGAGGACGGTCTGGGGAACGAGGTCTGGAGGTCGGCGCCGGTGCCGACACCGGTCAGTATCACTACGAAGACTCGGAGTGCCTCGATGTGCGCTCGCCAAGCCAAGCCGCTTGGCCCAAGGTCACGATTGACTCGCAGATCGGCGGATTCTGGTGGCCGTCAGTCGGCAAAGTAGCAGCTCGCGGCGTCACGCAAAGCCAAACTCATCAATGAGCCGGATAGGTTGGCAAGTGATCCGTTCCACCTCTGATCAAGGCAGCCGGAGGAGATCTCATCAGTCGGCCCGGGCTTTGACGTGAGGGGGAAGTGCGGTGCGAGCGATTCATCAGTGATACAGACAACGGTACAAGCCAGGGGGGTGGCGCCACGGAATCATGATCAACTTCGACGAAGACAGTGGCGGCTTGCTGTGCTATCGTGGAATGGATGAGAGGACGAGGGATGCCCAGCGAGAGCTCAGCGAGAGCCAGGCGAGATTTGTAGACAGGCGCAACAGAGCAACAGGGGGGCTTGCTTGATCTCCGTCTGTGCGGCGTCCCGACGGGCAGCACCAGCATGGCATAGGACGGTCTCGCTGGATGCGGATGCCGTTCCAATGCGAAGGGGGACAACCCCAAGCCAGGCCACAAAGCCAGGGGAAAGGGCAAGGGCAGGAGATTCCAAACTTGGCGTCGGGCGCTGAAACCGTGGTCAGGCAGCATTGTCGCATGCCTCGTCATTCTTGCGAAGCACGAAGCCAAAGTCGCATCGCTTCAGTGCCTTGGGCAGTGGCCGTCCCCGTTGTGTTGAAGCGTGGCGGCGGCAGTGGACGAGGCGGACGCGGCTGCCACAGCCGTGCAGGTGTTGCAGGTGTGCTTGTCCCGAAGATGTGCGGCATCACGGCCCAAAGATCAGCGCGGGCAGATGCGGTGTTGGCGCCTGAGAAACGCGGAGGGGGCAAGGTACCCCAGAGTCTTGCGCCAGAGGTGTGCTCATCCGCGTCGGAGGGATCGGGCGAGGTGGACCCGGCGCGAGAGGTCTCTTGCACGGTGCGGCTGTCATCCGACTGGACGTCATTCGACTGATCTCCTTCCGACTGGTCTTCGTCGGACCGTCTCTGGCCGACGATTGGCCGATCGAGGCCTCTTGGAGGGACGGTTGCTCGACGGGGCCATGTTCGGCACAGCGACCGGTGGTGCGCTCGCCGACTTCGGACGCCATGGTGTGGCAGGCGCGGTTCGGGCCGGCTGCTGTGGCGGCCGAGCTCGTGGCCGAGGTATGGGTGCCAGTTGCAGAGGACGTCATTGTTGAGATGGAGTGCTGAGGTCGTTAGAGAGGGTATGTGGTGGATGTGGATCTCGTGGCGATCACGGCTTGACCGGTCCAAAAAAAGATCAACTGCTCGGCGTGGCCTGGCACGACTCAGCGAGCCCAGTGTGGAGAGACGACGCCCAGGCGGGGAGGGAATCCCAGAGCCGAGTCCCGGATTTTCCACTAGGGGGAGTGCAGCAGCGCCCTTCCTGTCGAACCGTGCGACGAGTATGGCTGGGCAGACCATCTCGCTTGATCCCGCGTCGACTGCTGTTCGATTAGAGACTTGACCACTCTCAATCGATGTAGCAAGAAGCGCAGCTTTTGACATCGGCGACAACTTCAAAGCATTGGCTTGTCCGGCTGCGTCCCAACCGTGCGACGACATCGTCCAATCGTCGCCTTCTCTGCATGGAGCATCGTGCGAGGAGCCGCACAACCCTCTCGGGACGCAGCGTGCCACGAACCGCTGTCTTGGCAGACAGGCGATCCTGAGCCTGTCGCTAAGTCTAGACGCCCACAGCTCGTGATTGCAGTCGGTTCCAGCGTGTCGATGCCGCGAGGGGGGAGGACTGCTGGGAAAGCCCGTCAAAGGCGGCTCGAGCCTTGACGCTGAAGGCAGTTGAGAATTCAGCTGCTCGAAAACGGCGGGGATGCATGGTCCGTGGTGTGCTCCGAGAATGGTACGGGCGAAGCGGTGAAAGAATTGTGGTCCGGGAGATGTTCGGGGGTGGCTGCGAGACTTCGTACTTTCCCCGCTTCGCCGACTACCGGACGGAGTGGACCTTTGCCGACAGTGACCTTGTTGGAGGTGGTTGTAGACTCGCGCATGCAGCGTACTGAGCGCTACGACTGCCAGCAGAGAGAACTGAGCAGGAAGAGCGAGACCAGGGCTCCATTTCCATTCACATGTGTCAACCCACGGATCCCGTGCCATGCCTTGACCGCCGCGTTCCGCGCTTGGAATGGTAGAGGCGGGCGATGCTGGCAGCGATGACATCCTGTAGCCGGGAGCGACAGGAAGGAAACTGACTGGGCGAAGAGCCTGCAAGCCGAGCAAGTCTCGTTGGTCTGGGAGTGCAGAAGCCTCTGCCGGACGCAGAGGTCATAGGAAACGTGACGCCGGTCGTGAAAGCGACGAAGAGGTGATTCAAGATGAACACTCGTATGCACAGAGACGCGTCTGAGCTGATGGACGCGCGCCATGAAGGAGTGACGTGCACCGGTTGGCTTGGAGTCCCGCGAGCAGGCGATGTGCGAACGTCGATCGGCAGCAGGTGACGGACGCACCTTGCGGCAGATCCGACGCTTCATTAGACGCTGATTCTGGGATTCTCTGTGCGCTCGATGGCTGGAAAGGGCCTGTCGTGATGCATCGTGATGGGGACCGTCGCGGTGCTGAGCTATTTTCGAGGCGTGAGGCTGAGTCTTATCGTGCGCGGGAGCGGCGCAGTTGCGTCGGGTGCGAGGATAGCAGACAGTGGACAAACAGACTTCAGGTGTCGAAGATGGCATTCGAGAGTCTGACTGCCATGGTAGCTGATGAGGTCGAGGCCATGGCGTCGGCGAACGCAATCGACGATGAGATATGGAAGAGTGGTGGTGGTGTGCTAGAAAGACGTCGGGCAAGGAGTAAACGGACGGAATTGGACACGTCCGACCACCCTGTCCTTCTCCTTACGTCAGCAACGACGAGTGGATCGCTGGATCTCACCTACTCTCTACCGTCCAGAGTCGTCAGTTCCGACCTGAAGGGGCCTACTGGACGGGTCCGCCTTGACGCTCGACGACTGCGGCGCGAAGTTTTCGCACGGCGGAGCCGCAGGCAAATAGGGGCTTCGCGCGGGGCGGAAGGAAACCATCGCACAGGGGGAGCGCCCCGACCCAGCGAATCAGAGTCGGTGCTGTCGGGCACCCCATCGAGAGGCTTTGTTCGAGCACAAAGGGGCCGAATGAAAAGAGATTCAGCACAAGGTCGAGCGAAAGTCGAAGTCAAAGATGCTTTCGTACGACGTCGGACCGGTCATTTTGTGCGACGGCCCGGGGGCGGGCGGGGCTGGTCACCCCGGTGACACAGCTATGTGGCATGCGGTGTGCGAGGCTCCCCAAAAACTGCCCAATTGCGACCTCCTCATCTGCTGCCTTCGGCGATGGAGAACCACGAAAGACGATTGCTCTTGCCTCATTTCGAGAGCAACGGGGGCATGCTGCGAATGGATCTGGCCATGCCTGGCCCCGGCTGCCTGACAGTCTGCCTGGCTCCCGCCTTCCCTTGCCTGCCTTGCCCTGTGAGCTGGGCTCCCTGCCATGGCCTCCCTCCCTGGACGAGCGACGAGTCTTCTCCCCTTCTGACTTTGGCCCGGCCAAACGTATATCAACCCCCCCTCTACCCGCCTCCCCCCTTTCCTTCCGACATACTTGTTCGTATCCTCCTTCTTGCCCCCTACCCTTCTGCGATGGCCTGGCTACCGGATCAAAGACTGACCACATCCACCCCTTGCCCTCGTCCTGCGCTTGCCCCTTGCTCCCCCTGCCCTTCTCAGACCTTGGCACTTCCAGTCCCGCTCAGGCATGGGTTCTGGAGAGGGGGCGTCGACGGGCTTGCACAGCCACCCGTTTTCGTCTTACCGTCGAAGCCCTCCCGCCTCTCTCCTCTGGAGGGAGGTCTGCCCAAATCTATGGCACTGGAGCAGGTTCTCTTCGGAGGGCCTGTTCCTTTCTCTTTTTTGGACCCCGCTGCTTACGTAATCATCTGTCATTCTTGGGGCTCCCTGGAACCGGCTGCCTGATGTATGTGCTTTCACGCTGGCGCGACCGCTTCCAAAGTGTGGGGTAGGCTGGGACGAGGCGAGGCGAGGCGAGGCGAGGTTCGTTTGGCTGGCCGTCGTCCCGGCCTTTGTGTATGGTTTCGATTGCGACGGCTGGCCGGCGTTGAAAGGCGATCCGGCGAGGTGCCGACGATGGCGCCCGTCGGGCTTGGTACTGTACAGTAGGCTGGGGCTGAGCTGCGACGGTGACGACGGCGACGACGAGCGGCTGAGCCGGCTGCATGGTCCGGGCCCAGCCGGCGTTCGCCCCAACGCTTTGCTCGCAGCAGGGCGATGCACCGCGGCTGCGACTCCTCGCCTCCACACTACCCTACCTGGCGTCCCGCTCCTCCGTATCCACGGCGACCTGGCCTTCCCCTGGTCGTCTGTCTGTCCACCACCATCGCCTCCTGTCCTCTCCCTTGCTGGCAGCTTCTGCTTACCTGCACTCCACCACCCAACCTGGCAGCATGGCGGGAACATCGACGACATCACCGCAGGACGATGAGACGACGACGCCGCCGCCGCAGCAGCGGAGGAACCCGGGCCTGCGCCTGCCCAGGATGACCAAGGTCAGCCGACGCGCGGGCGCCAACGATGGCGACGCAGCCCCCTCGGACGACGACGACGACGACGACGACGACTTTGCGCGCTGGAAGGCCGCCTCGGGCCCTACGACGCCCAACCTCTCCGAGACGGCCGCGCAGCTCAAGCGGAGCCTCAGCGTGACGGGCCTGCAGGACCTGGCCCATATGCCTCCTGGCCAGTTGCGCAAGCAGGTGGGCAGCAAGGTCTGGCGGCCCCAGGACGAAGAGGCGCGCATGCCTGGCGACTGGGAGCGCCTGCTGGTCCACGTCGTCCGCGGCGGCCTGCGCGCCGGCAACCTGGCGTTTGCGCTGCGTGCCACGCTGATGCTCGTCCTCGAGCTCATCAAGGCCATCCGCACCAAGCGCTTCAAGGGACGGTCGCTCGGCCTCGCCGTCCTTGGTCCTACAAACTTTCGCTTCGCGGGCCTCTTTGCCCTCTGGGCCGCGCTGTACAAGGCCACCCACAACTCGCTCCGCCTCCTCACGCCCATGCCCGTGACGGCGCGCGATCGCA